CCAGAGCAACCAGGTTTGGGGAATCGCATACGGATAAATCATCATCGCCAAACCCGTCCACGTCAGGACGTGGCGTTCGCTCTTTCGGCCTCTCCTGAAGGCCGCATAGCCGATGATGCCGAAAAGAATGGCACCAAAAATATAGGCCGGGCTGGGCAGTGTGAAGCCCATGGATTCGAGATTTTTGAGGTCGTTCATAAGGGATTGTCAGTGCATGCTTGAGCAGCAGGCTATTTGATTGTGCGCCGGGAACTGCCTGCCGGGTATCTTCCCCGATTGCATGCGTGAATGGCTTTTGGATAATGTTTCACGATACCCACAAGCCCAAGGACCCCCATGCAGGAAGCCGCTTATTTCTACGTTTCAAAATTCTGGATCGCCCCTGCAGGCAAGACCGCGTTGATGGCCTGGCTTGACAACGGCCATGTGGCCGAGGTCGTCAGCCAGCCAGGTTTTCTTTGGTGCAGGCAGATCGATTTGCGTGAGAAGGACGCGGACGGATGCGAGGCCTACCTGATGATTTACGCGCTCGAATCTGAACAGCATTTCAAACAGTACAAGGCCAACGAGCAGCTTGCCGCCAAATTTGCAGAGCAGCGCAAGGACTTTGCCCACCACCTGCGCATGGACCGATGGGACGGCCCGGTGGTCGGCGTGTTCGACAGGGGCTGAGCGCAAGCCTTTGCAAGCCCCCCGTCATGCGCACGCTAGTCGGCGCTGAAACCCGAGGCCTTGACCACGGGCCCCCACATCGCGATGTCATCTGCAATGCGTTTTTCGAGAACGTCGGCCGGCGCGTAGTCGGCTTCCGTGCCCATCTTCAACAGCGCGTCGCGCACTTCGCGAATACCTATGACCTTGGCAGTGGCCGTCTGCAGTTGCTGCACGATGGCGGATGACGTGTTGGCGGGTACGAAAAATCCGGTCCACTCAAGTTCGTCGAACTGCGTAAAACCCAGTTCCCTGAGCGTGGGCACATTGGGCAACTGGTCCGAGCGCCGCTTGCCGTTGACAGCCAGTATCTTCACCCGGGTTCCGTTGTACTGGATCATGTCGGCGATGGGCAACACACCGGCGGCAAGCTGCCCACCGACGAGATCCTGTGAAAGCGGTGCGGTGCCGCGGTAAGGCACTGACACGAGGCTTGTTTTTGATGCGAGGCCCAGCTGGTAGCCAATGAACTGCGGCAGGCTGCCGGGCGCGGGGACGCCGTAGCTGGCGTATTTCGGGTCCTTGCGGGCGGAATCCAGCCACTCGGCCACGGTGTTTGCGGGCGAAGAAATGGGCAGCGAAACCGATTCGTAAAAACTGGAAATACGCGCCACCGGCTTGAAGTCGCGCGCCGCCTGGTAACGGATGGATTTGACCGTCAGCGGTGCCATCACCATCATGTGTGAGGTACCCAGCAGCACGGTCAGCC